GGAGAGGAGGAGGACGGAGCCCGTGGTGGAGAGCACGGCCGCGGCCGGGGACCACGGAACCTTGAGGAGGAGTCAGTCCGACAGGACAGAGTACGGCCAGAAGTTACAAGGTACTGGGGGAGCTTGCTGGGTGCTCCGGGCTGGGGATGCTCTGGGCTGGGGTGCTGCCTCGACGGCCTCCGGGCTGGGGATGCTCTGGGCTGGGGTGCTGCCTCGACGGCCTCCGGGCTGGGGATGCTCTGGGCTGGGGTGCTGCCTCCCCGGCCTCCGGGCTGGCTGCAGCCTGGAGATAAAAGAGGGGAATGGCAGTCTCTGACCCGACACGCTCACAGCTGGCCTGAGCAATTGCCCCCCGTCACTTCCAGGGTGTGAAATGTTTCCTCTAATTTTTCTAAATAATGTCGTGTAGACAAGACACAAAATGCAGTTGGAGGTTTTGTGTGTTCCCGCGAAATGCGTCTGCAACCGGGATCTTCCTCATCTGTCACCAGAACACGGTCGCAACGCAACAGTAGTGTGAAAATGGGATGGTTCCGTCCTGTCTGCTTTTGGCTGTCGTACCACGTGGGGTACAGACGAAGTAATCAGAAGCATCAAGGGCAGTTTTTTCTTTCAGTTGAAACCACCAAGATCTAGAATGTGTTTGTCTGTTGCTCAGATTGTGCAAGCCTGAACTGAAGTACATCCAAATACATGCTTTGATGGATATGCTGATTCAAATTATACCATTATGGAGACAATTTCTTTTCAAATAGCCAAATTGCATCTGGACCAGAAATTGGCAGAGTATGTCAGTATTGGGCCTGTCGATCAAAAATTAAATGTGATGCCACAGATTGAGGAAAAGCATGAAGAATGTGTATGGCTATTTCTGGGAGTGCTCTTGAACACAAACTGATGAATTTCTGTGGGTTTCCAGGGTCTTGAACAACAGGGTGCCTTCACGAATGGGGGATTTGAGTATGATTATAATATCAGCATGTATTACTAATGGTGATATAACTGCCTAGTGACAGTCACTCTTATGGCAATAATTCTTTATGGAGAAATAAAATAGGAAAATACTTTGCGCTGCTGTATTATGGTTTTGATGCATTTAATTAGGAAGCAGCATTCCTTCACAGGGGCAATAAAAGCATAAAATAAAATAATAAACCTAAGAATAATAGGATTTCTATGGGGGCTGCATACACTGAGAACAGCAGAGCAGTTCATCGATTATGCTGTTCTCTCCTTGTGATAGCTAATCAATGAGAAAATGAAAAATTTTCATTTAAGTCAGGCACATGCTGCAGGGATCTGGTGGGGGAGTTCCAGGGTACAAGCACAGATTGCTATGGTTGGCCAGGCAAGCTCCTGGCACGTGTCCCACCAAAACAACAGTTTTTTACTCGTGAAGGGGGTTGTCTAGGTGAGTTCAAGTGTATCAGGGCCATATCCAGCAAAAAGTGTGAGTTCTTTCTGTCAGGTATATTCATGCTATGAATGTTTCCTGTTTCAAACCTGGAGCAAAGGAGGCGGAGAAGGTTACAGGTAGTTATAGCAGAGCGTGAGGTTATGTTTATGGCAGCAGTCCAAGGAGATGGTAAATCCAGCTTTACAGCTCCTGCCACCAGCTGAGACTGCCACGGCCACCTATGGCAAAGCACCGGTCTGGTATCAGCTCACTCTGCTTGCTTGCATTTGTTCAAGAAAAATGGTGATGGGTTAGCAAGGTACCTCCAGGCTTTATATTGGATTAGAAGTTGCCTGTCCTCAGAGTGAAAATACAAAGTCAGCAGAAATTCCTATGAAGTGTATTTACAGTTGATATAGAAAGAAATGCAGTTGTGTGCCAAGGCCTGATCAAATTTTGCTAAGCTAGATGTGCCCGAGTCTGATAGTGATCATGGATCCCAGACCTAACTTGCTATCTGCCAGTGCTGATTATGTGCTATGATCGTACACTTTCATGTTCTTCATATTTTTTCTCACTAGCGCTTGGATGCAAAGCAGCTTACTCCAAGCTGAGGGAATTGGTTTTGTTTACACAAAGCTTTTGAGTTCTCCATGCTTGGTAAGAAAACCCAACAGTGTTGCTGGTGACTTAAACAATCTGTTGTGTATCCCAGGTCAGGACTCTCTGTCACCCTAGAATGGTAAATGATTTGCAAAAAGATACAAATAGTAATAATTTGCACTTGCTTCCTAAATGAATTGGAGGAAAAGCTCTGTGTTTAGTTGCCCTTCCCTGTTAAGATGTTTTCTAACAGAGAGTCTGCAGAACTGACGTTTGTATTAGCATGGTCAAGGATGTGTAAGACAGGAGCAAACCCTGCAGATGAGAATCCCCCGTGAGCGGGGCTGGGAAGTCAAGAGTCAGAGGCTGCGGGACCCACATCTCTGCTAGGGCCCACCTAGGCAGAGCATGGGGACCAAGGTGTCTGTACACCCCAATGCCTGTATCAGCATTGCAGCACGCTTGCCCAAGGTGTAGCATGGGTGAGACACCTCTGAGAGCCCTTCCAGCCCTCTGTGCAGTTTAAATTGTTTCCCTGAGCAGAAACAAGGCTGTTGCCGCCCCTAGCCATTTCCAGCAGCTCTGAAGTATATGCTCAAAGTGCAGCTCAGTGTGCTGGAAATATAGGTCCCCAAATAAAAGCCTATAAACAAACAAAGAAAAGAAAAACCAACCAAAACCAAGTGAACAAACAGTCAGGCATAAAAACTCCTGAGAAATCCCTCTCTGCGCTTGGATTTCTCTTTAGTTTTGCTGTTTTACACAGAATCCAAAATGTTTTCTATAAAGGGTGAGAAAGGCAGCCTACCACCCAGATCTCCAGGGTAATCAAGGTGGTTTGCTCTTTAAGTCTACAAACACAAGCACAATAGCATTGTCAAAGGTGCAAATCTCTGCAAGTGTTTTTCACTTTAAAATTAAGGATTCATTAAAAATGCAAGAAAGCATTTTCATGGTTAATTATTATACTGGATACATCTATTCTATTCCTTATCTGGTGTGAATGGCTGTGCAACACCTCCTGAATTTAGTCCTTTTTAAAAAGGAAACAAGATGCAAAGTAACCATTATATTCTCAAAGAGCTTGGCAAGAATTGGTGCATCTATTTCAACCCATCCTGTGAGATAATCAAATGCCTACAGCCCCATTTTAGATAGGGGAAAATAAGGCAATTGCTATCAAAAGTCACGTTCTTGATACAACCATGCAATCATCTAGAACTCAGGTTGTAGTTGCATTCTTGGATGAGTCCAGAAATATCTTGATCAAGCCACATATATTTTTTCCTTCCATAGTTCTCCATCAGCTAGACAGAAGCACTACATTTCTAAAGAGGGAAGATGGGGTTAAGGAAGATATATTCACTAGCATTTGTGGTGGATGCAGAAATAATATTAAAGGTCATCATAAGAACTAAGATATAGCTCCTGTGACATTTCTGTGCAGCGCTCTGCTCTACATTCACTAGAAAATCCAGCATACGTGTCCTTTCAAGAGGATTGAAGAACTTGCTACTATCCTTAAGCAATGGTACAAAATGGTATTTAGCAGCTCTATTTTCAAATGTATTATCCATATCTGTTTATCTAGTAGGAGCTGGTCTGGTTTTTTACAGTGAAAATCCATCAGTAGCAGCTGTAGAAGTAAATATGTTAATATCTATGTATTGCATTAATGTTAGGATCAGTCTTTGAATTAATCTAAAGCCTCCATTCTGTGAGTACCTGGGTACTGCGGTATGAGCAGTTTGTTTGATCTAGTTATTGGCACATAAATGTTTGCAAGATCAGGGCCGACTGAGATACAATGCATCATGGGGATAGATGCTATCAACCAAAAAGGGCAGACCATGAAAAGGAATTTAAAACATAGTTCACTGTCTGTTAGGTTTTGGACAGATTGCTGGTTCTTGTTAATAACCATATACCAAACTTGTGCTTGGGGTTAAAAATGAGCTATAGAAAATGGTGACTGTCCAGAAGGAATCGGAGATCACATTTGCAGTGTTCAGGAAGACAGTGCATGCTTTGAGCTACTCCTTGTTTTACAGCTCTATTACATATTGACTCCCTTATAACTTTAGCTGCAAATGGGTCAATTGCACTGTTAAATGATTTGCACATGCTTCAAATGTAAAATATATCAAGGAAATACCTGTAATAGATACAGTGATTCAAACCACACAGCTACCGCAATATTTTGCCCCAGACCTCATATCTGAACCCTGAATTTCACGTTTTTCCTGTGTCTAACGTAGTTAGGAGAAATAACAAACAGAAATGACACAGAAACCTGCAAAACTATACAAATTCCTAGAAAGTTGCTATTCCTTGGAATGCAAAAGCCCAGTCAGAGGCAACTCATAGAATGGTATAGGTTGGAAGGGACCTTAAAGATCATCCAGTTCCAACCCCCCCTGCCACCAGCAGGGACACCTTCCACTAGACCAGGTTGTTCAAAGCCTCATCCAGCCTGACCTTGAACACTTCCAGGGAGGGGGCATCTACAACTTCTCTGGGCAACCTGTTCCAGTGTCTCACCACCCTCACAGTAAAGAATTTCTTCCTAAACTTATCTCCCTTTGCTTCATCACAAGCAGGGCACCTTCCTCCCTCCCATCCTCCTCCCTGCCTGCAGAGCACACCACTCCTTCCCACATGGGCTGCCCATGCACACAGCTTCTCAGCATCTCCTGCCAGGAGAAAAGATCCTCCACGCCTCTCCCCAGTTCCTTGTTTGCTTTGCACTGTACCTACTGATTAACTTTCTATGGACTACAATGCAGATAATATCCTATTTCACCGCAAAATGTATTGATCTTTGGAGCGGCTGGTTTGCTGACGTACAGTAAGGAGTAAAATCAGGATTATTTCCTGAAGTCCAGGAGATGGCTTGATGAAAATACCCTCCCTGTGCCCTCTGATGGGAATCACACTCTAACAAATACTTATATTTTCTCCTGTGCAAATTTAAGCTTGGAGGATCTAATTCTGTTAACTTGCACTGCAACAAAGCTGGAGTTATTCCACTGCAGTGGCAGCCAGGCTGGGAAGCAAGCTCATCTTTTCAGAGCAGAATCCATTTTGTGCCGCTGTGTTTGCACAGTATTT